TCTCTCTCTCTCCTCCTCCTCTCTCTCTCTCTCTCTCTCTCTCTCTCTCTCTCTCTCTCTCTTCATCTCTTCATCCCTTCACGAGTTTAACATCGATATTTAAAAGAAAAAATTATTTATTAACAATTTATAAAAATAAAATCAAAGCATTTACATCACTTCGTTGTTGTCCGATCGTGGCCAACAGATATATTAATCGTAATACATTACATATTTCGTAATGAATTTTTATTTTCATTTATTAAAGTGTGAATTTTTAATTCCAGCGGTGAGAAAAAATTAATTTGAAACGTCGGATTAATTCCCCCTCTTCTCGAATTAATTAAGCAAATTTATTAATATATTCCGAAGTCGTACGCATACGTGTACGTATATATATAAATCAAATGAAAGGATATACGACGTTAATTTGCAATTTGACACGCTTATTGAAATTACATTTTTCCTTGGTCACTCGCTAAATATAAAAGGTGTCACGCTTCTGTGTGACAGATTTTCAACGCAACGTGTGCTTAATTGAATCACGTAAGACTTCTCGATTTGAATAATAACACGTTGGAGAAGGAGAAGGTGATAATCGCAACGCGCGCGAAATCGAAAGCGAGTGCAATGTCTAGTCTATTTGAAACAGGTTTGAAACGTTTGACGTTGACGTCTTTCCTATGTTCTCTTGAAAATTATCTAACGGTATATCTAATGTAACACCAGTGAAACGTACACACATTGCGAAGGAAATTAAGGAAAGAGGAATATTTCCGAACTTCTCTTCTAACAAGATGGATAAATCGATTAATTGTTAAAACGTTTTCAGGCCACGCTACTATTAGTAGCTTGTACAGCGGGGGTATATTCGAAGCCAGCACCGGAACCGCCCAGCTCCTACTTCCCCCCATCGAATGGAGGCAGTTTGTCGTCCGGTAATTACGGTCCCCCCTCGCTTCCAGATCGGTACGGGCCGCCCCAGCAACAGCCCGTCGTCCACAAACACGTTTACGTCCACGTGCCGCCTCCAGAAGCTCCGGAGTACAAACCGCCGAAATACATACCGCCCGCGGCACCACCGCAGAAACATTACAAGATCGTGTTCATAAAGGCGCCGACTCCACCAACGCCAACGGCACCGGCTCTGCCGCCATTGCCGCCCCAAGACGAGGAGAAGACTTTGATCTACGTTCTTGTGAAGAAGCCGGAGGAAGCGCCAGAAGTGGTTCTTCCCACTCAAGCGCCAACGCAGCCTAGCAAGCCGGAAGTCTACTTCATTCGATACAAGACACAGGTAAAATTCGCTCGTGGAGCTATGATTTTAATTATTTTTATTCGATAGTAAAAAACTGTTCTTTTTTTTTTTTTTCTTACACACGAACTCGTGATCCTCTACAATTTCGTGATTCGTTTCAATAATTTGTTACTTAAGCTCGATTATTTGTTGACGTTACAGAAAGAATCTCAAAACGTGGAGTATGGACCTCCAGCACAATCGCCCCCTTCGGATAATTACGGAGCTCCACCATCAAGCCCTGGCGGACCTTATTAAATAATTTTATTAGGAATGGTCTACGAATCTTTTATGAAACAAATATTATGAAACACGCGAATTAGAGAAATACTTTTTCACTCTGAAATTTTCAGTAATTTAATCGTCAAAAGAGTACAATTATAAAATTTTTATAGAGTTTTCAATTAAATTTAAACGATTTGCTCATCTTTGCAAATATCTGCATGTTAAAGAGATTTTTCGATATCCAATATCATTAAACGTAAATTCCATTGCGTGTACAATTTATGTACACCACTTTTTCCATACCGTTATTATTTATACTCTTCTATTAGCTATTTGAAAAAAAAAATGTCTTTCATGCAAATACCAATATTGTTTATAGAGATATGTTCACAAAGGATTATCAGGTGTAGTAAGAGTTTGGGAATTTCTAATTAATGGCATGTGAAGATGTTTATAACAGATGTATGTATATTTTAATAATAAAGCTATTTGTACTTTTGTAGAAATTTTTATTTTATTATTTTTATATGTATTCTCCTCGTAAAAATTACAATCTGAAAAGTATCAGTACATTTGGTACGCGCATTAGATTATAATTACAACATTTCTTATAAAACTAAATAACAAAAAAATTGGATAACGTATAAAAATTTAATTCGTATAAAATTAATTGAAATTTGAAAAAACTTGAAATAGAATATATTTATATGTATAATTCTGGATATACAAATGTATCAAAAAATTATTTTATTATTATATAAGTACATTTATAAATTATGTAAATAGGTTGACTGTTTCAAAATGATTTATACGTATATATTTATAGAAAAATTTTAAATCTACTTTAATATTAAAAATTTTTTTATAAAAATTATTCATTTGACTCGAATAACCTATAAAAATATTTCACGCATTTACGCAGATTTCTTTTGTGAACAATTAAACTTTAAACAAAATTTATTTAAACATTTTATGCTTTTTTTTGTTTGAATATAAATACACATCTACTTAAGTATTTATATATTTTGATACATTAAATTGAGTAGTAAGTCCATTCGTAAATTGTTTAACATTTACAACAGTTGAATATTTTTATTTTTATAAAAAAATCGCATCTAATTAATTATACAATATATATATATATATATACTTTTGATTTCATTATATTTCACGATTTAACACATTTATTTATTCTATAACTTTTTTTTTTTCATTATCAAATAGTTTTAGATATGTATCCTCATATCTTTCTTTCTCTTCAAATAATTTCATATTAATAAATTATCGTGGAATTTTAAATAAATATTCAAAAATAAGACAACCTTCGATTAAATGCTAACATTATTTTATTAAAGAATAATCTATTTTTTATATAATACTTGTTTTTTATTATTGTCTTTTGGCAATTAATTTTTTGGCAAGCAGTATATTCATTGATAATAACTTTGATTGACTGTCTGGTAAAAATATATAATAAAAAAATTTTTCAATCTTAAATATAAAATAAATATAAATATAAAATATTTTTTTAAATTAACAAGTTAACAATTTTTCTTTAAATAATTTTTTTTTCAATGTTAAAGATAATTTTTTATTTTTGTAATTAATCATTTCAATTGTAGATCATTTTTTCCCTATTTTTACAAAATTCTTATCTACTATATAATCATTTTATTTCAGTACTATTTTTTAATTCTTATAAATATTACATCATCAATCTTTATTTATTTCTTATTTTATCCCTCATCATTAATTGTAAATAATATCTTTTTGTAAATAATATTAATAATATAATTATAGAATTATTTCTGAAAATTTTATCAGTATCGTTTCATTTTTGTATCAGTTGAGATAATAGAGATTCTATTATAGTTATATATCTAATTTAAAAAATCTATTAACAATCATAACACATTTGAACTATCTTTACTAAATTTAAACACATATTTGAAGATAAATTTAAACACATTATTGAAAGATAAATAAACTTTTGGAAAAAATATCTTGAAATAATGTATTCCTCATTAGAATACATAAATCTCATAAATGAAAGAACTTATTACTCAATCTAATATTTTTTTTTTTCAAATGTATTTATAATTAAACTTACTTTTATGCGATACAATATTATGCAAAAAAAAATTTTAAAATATATATTATTATCTTCAAATAAATAAGTAATTTGATTTCAAATATATCATATTTTATACAATTTCTTAACCGGTTGAAACTTTTTATTAAATTCGTAATTTTAAGTTCATAAATATATCAATCACTATAATATGTACCCCTGATTCATTACTTGTTTCATTACTTGTTTTCGATAACAATAACACGAAAATTGTTAAATATGCAATGCATCTTTCGATTTCTTGAATAGTATTCTTGAATGATACTTCAACGACTATAAATCAATTATTTCGAGCATAATAATATATATCAATACTATTCGTATATTTTTTAATTATTTTTGGCACTATAAACTTATAAATATATAAATATATATATTTAATAAAAATAGAAAGATATGTACAGTATATAGTGACACATATCAAATTAAACAATATCAAATTATACAATTTCAATTATACAATAATTTAATCAAAACAAACTTATAAATTTCAATAACTTGTTTAAATTATTAAAAAAAATTCGTTTGTCTAATTTTTATAGTAAGTATTTGGCATTTTTCATCCTATTTTATACCTAAAATTCTTCATATATTATTAAATAAAATTTTATAAAAATATTCTTCGTTAATTAAATAATATTTAAAAAAAAATGAATGTTTTCTTTTGTAAAATAAAAAAAAAATTATTTTTTACGTATATTTTAATAAATGTAATATCAAAATTGAATTTAAATTATATCAATTATGCATTGAATAATAAACATTAAAAATGTTTTTACTGATTAATATTAATTAAGTATAAGTCACATAATTAAGTATAAATATTTTTTTAATATAATTTTTTAAAATACTTAAAAATATATAATCAAATTCAATTTCTTTTTATATCACAAAATTTTTTATTCTTTGAATTGAAATTTATTAAACTTTTGTTTAATAAATTTTTATCAATTAAATTGTTTGATATTTTAAAAAAATATTCACTAAATAATAATAATAATAAAAATTTTCTTTTTTTAAATAATTAAATACAATAAATTTTTTCTCATTTGTACGTATAGCTTTCTATTATTTATAAAAAATTTATTGTATATTTTATTATTATTAATTGTCTTTTCAAAAATATATAAATAGTTCTGGCATTCCGATATTTGAAATCGAATTATTTTTCATTATTTTTTCATCTTATTATTATTGTATTACTTGTTTTACTTGTTTTCAATATCATTAAAAAATATATGTTTATTCAGAATTATTACTCAAGTTGTTTTAAGTGTTTCTTAAAAAAAAAAATTTGATTGATACAGATACAAGAGAATAAATTAGATAAATTAGGAGACCATAGTGATATAAGGAAGAATAAACTTGATGATAAATAGAGTATGATAAAAATGTAAAACAAACAAGACAATAACCCATTAAAGCAAACGTGTGTAGACGCAAGAAAATCCATACGAGAATTCTAAGTTCTAGACGATTTTCTAATAATTTCTGTAATTTCTCTTGCTTCTTCAATATTTTGGTTAACTACAAAAATTAATACAGATAATAGTATGAGAATGAATACTAAAATATGAAATTATTAATTAAACAATTAAGTAATGATTCACTTGAATATCGTTTAAATAAATAATTATTAATTATCATTATATAAAAAAATAAAATTGCCATACTTACATCTCTTTCAGCATACATGATGATAAATTCGAGGAAAAAGCAAAAATAATATCCTGAATGAACTCCATGCCATACCGCAAGAAAAAGCAATGTCATAATTTGACTACAGGTTACTGATCCGAAAACTTTCAATCGTTTGTAAATATATTCCGCACACCAAATATTGGTATTTATATTAAATGACATAATATAATGCTTAAATTTAGTTGCTGTTTCAAATTTTAACACATCAACATTTGTACAACCATTCCAAAGAGGACGACCTTTTTCATCTTTTCCATTATAAGATAAACCAAATATTGTACAAGCCTGAAATAAAAAATATCTTTTATTAGATATATTTTATTTTTAAAACGAAATAAATAATAAATAAATATTTCGTTAATAAATTCTAATCTATTAACAAATTAATAAACATGAATTTGAAAAAATTTTCTAATTTTTTATTTTCTTATTATTTTTATATATATTATTTTGTATTTAATTTATATTCAATACATCTACTATAATCATAACATATTTGAATAAAAAAATAAATAATATGCATATGATTTATGCATATGATTATATGATAATTAATAATATATTTTTATATATTTGTATTCTTACCCCTTCAGCCAATAACCAGCAAGAAACATATTTATACAGATTGACGTGACCCCATAAACCAATAATAAAAATACGTTTCAAAAAGAATTGCTGTCGAAACTCCATACTTAAAATATATTCATGAGGTATGTACCAAATTCCTAATTGATGAAGTATCATGTATACGATTCCAAGAAACATTTTAAAAATACCAGGCAAGATAGAATTATGAATTTCAATTTCTTGTACTATAAAATTCTAAAGTAAAAAAATTAAATTATTTTTTTTTTAATTTAATTATTATATTTTATTATAGAGAAATATATTGAATTTTTTCGATCTTTTTTCAATCTTTTTCAATATTTAATCAATATTTTAATATGACTTACACCATCCGCATTAATCGATGTATACCGTCCTTGCACAAAATCTAAGTATCTTTTCAAGTTAAATTGTGGTCCAACTATAAATGACGCTGGAAAATATGAAAATGCTGCAATCTCCAAAAACGTTGGATGATCTTTTAAGGCCACTTGCTTTTGTTGTATGGACAATGATTCCTGAAACGGATAATTTCATTAATTAAAGTTGTTCTTTATAAAAAACAATTCTTTTGTTTTTTATTTTTCGTAATTATATTTAACTTCAATCTTAATCTAATCCCTTTTGTTAACTAGCTTATTATTTAAGAATTAAAGATTTTTATCGCATTATATTATTTATTGCTCTTTACGTACTTCGGGTTTTTGGCCATCTAACATATCGAATGCGATACCAATTAATCGTAAAGTTAATACACATTGTGGCATTGTCCATTTTATATCATATTCACGTGTACTTGTTAAATAATATCCTATTAACAATAAAAACAATTAATATTTTCTAATAATATATAAATCATGTCATTCTAATAATATATTTATTATTATATTTATTATGTACAAAATTTCATATGAATCAACAATATATTATATGAAATTATAATATATTATAAATTATTTATACATGTAAATAAATGTGATATAATTATTGAATTGTATAATTGTTAAAATTTTTTAAAATTATATAAGAATTATTATATTATATGTATATATAGATATATTATTTTTTCATACCACAAAAAAGATAAACCATGTTGAAGACAAAAATAATAAAAACTGCCAAAGAAGAACCACCAATATATTTTAAAATGCTATAAGTGGTATACACTGCTAGTCCTGAATGAAATAGATTAAGTCCTGTAATAATAATATATTCATAACCAATTTATTCCTTACATAATTATTCAAAAATATATTTTTCGCGACTGAAAATTATACTTAATATATACCATAATTAATTAAATAATTAATTTATACATTTTTTTCAGAAAATAAAAATAAGACAAAAAAAATTTATTTACAAAATAAAAATAAAAAATATTTTTCTTATTTAATTTATTAGATTATATTTCTATATAGTAAATATTAAATTTAATTTTGTTATAAAAATTAAATGTTTTTAATGAAAACCTGAAACTTATATCATTTTGACAAGTTTGGCAATTTTAGTATTCAATACTATTTGTTGAAGACAAATAATTACCAAAATTCCACAAGCAAATCGAAACACCACAGGTTATAAAAAATATATGTTGATATATTGGATATTTTCCATATAAAGTATATCTATGAATGAAGGCGATTGGAAATCCTGAAATTTTAATTATAATTACATCATGATTACACAAATCAAGCTTTATTAGAATATTTTTAAATGTTTCATTTCATGCATATTTACTTATAAATATTAATATTTAAGAAATTTTAAGTCGCTAATATTTTTTAATAATTTTAAAGTTTACTCTTAAATGAATACATAAAAATTCTTACAATAAATTCTTGAATATCTAAATATTATAAATATTAATATGATTTTACAATTTTTATTATAACATATTAAGATATAAATAAAATATAAATAATACTAAAATAAAAATAAAAAACTTAATTAAAAAAAGAACGAAAATATATGACACATTAAAAATATATAGAAATATAGAAAATATAAAGAAAAACTTATTAGTTAAATAGAAATAATAATGCAAAAATTAAGAATGCAAATATATTTGAAAATAAAACTTTTAAGAAATTTGCTCTGTAAATTTTTTTGCAAAGATCGTTTTACAAGAATATTTTTATTGAAACTAATCAAGAATAATTTTCCTTCAAAGCATATGTGTATTTACGAAAATTAATTAAAAATTAACTCAATTTTTGAAGAATCTTATTTTCAAATATATTAACATGCGTAAATGATATTAATAGATTAGATTAGGTTAATAGAAAAAGAAAAAAGAAAAGTTATTTAGAAGATAGAATAAACATAATTTCTTTACGCGGGAACTACTAAAATCTTGTACACGCATGTGTAATAATAGAATATATATATATATCTATCGTCCAAAAGTTTGAAAAATAAAGAGAACTTGAAAATATCAAAAATCATATATTAAAATCATTATAGTTAAAGCTTGATAAATAATAAAAAAATTTTATTAATATAAAAACATTAATTAAAGCTTAAATAATTAAATCAAAATCAAATTTTTGTTTGAAATAATCATTTTTATTATTAATTATTTTTGAAAAAATTTTTGCCATTTTATCTATAAATATTTCTTTTTTTCTAATTAAGCAAATATTAATATCAATAAATATTTATTATAAATAGTTATATTTATAAAAGATTTTTTACTTCATATAAAAATATTATTTTTAATTTTTTAAATGATAGATAGTACATTCTCAAATCATTCTAAAAATGTGACAACAACTTTAAACTTAAAAATTAAAATAAACTAAGTATAATTATTAAACAATAATACGTAATGAATTGAAAACTAATTATAACTAATTAATGATGCAAATGTAATAAGATCAAAGATTAAAGTATTTTATATAAGTATATATAATTAAAAAAAATAAAAATGAGAAAAATAATTGAGGATTTGTAAGAAAGAAAAAGAACAAAATATATTTGAAAATATTAGCATCTATTTACCAACTAAAATGGAGAAAAAAAGACGAGTTGCAGCCTCAGGTACATTTAAATGTTCAGAGAAGAATGATACAATGTTAAACATTGTTAATATTTTAATATTTTTGAAATTATGCTTCGACTTCTTTACATCAATTTTATAATATTATAAAATTTTTTTTATAAAGAATAAGTAGATAAAAATTTATTAATTATGCAATATTATAACTTGTAAGTTTTAAGGTTAGAGATACTAGAAGGTTAGAGAATAGATCGATACTAAATCACAATGCACAGAGAATTTTATTGTGTGTTCTAAAAATCATTAAATTGATAAGATCATGAAAAATAACTTTTTATAATTTTTAAAAGTTATAAAAACGGAAATTATATTAAAACAAATATTACTATTTTAAAAATCTCTTTTTTAAAATTAATTTAATTTATTATAAAATAATTAAGAAACTTCAAAGCAAAATTTTCATAAATTTAAGAACACCTGAAAATAATAGTAAATATTTACTTGCTATTGTTATTATTATTTATTAATTTATTGGTTTTATTATTAATTCATTAAATAGATTTTATTGTAATTTTATTTGCTTATTTCTTATATAATTAACTATAATGGCATAATTTATTTAAAAAATATAATATAGTAATAAATTAAATATATAAAAACATTTTTTAACTTTGTTTTTCTTTTTATTATAATTATTTCATCTTTAACAATATTTTAAATAATTATATTAAAATATTTTTTAAAATATATTTTTTCAATACATTATATATTAAAATTTTATAATTGTTAATGATTTTCACATAAAACTTAAGTAAAAAAAATAAAAAACTTTTTTCTAAAATTTAATAAATAAATCATAAGAAAGAGATACATTAATTATATATTAATTATAATTAAAATTAAATATAAATAAATTTTATATATTTAATTCTGTACAAATAATTAAATTTATAATAAAATAATTATAATAAATCAACAAAAATAAAAAAATTTTAAAAGATAGAAGATAGGAGATAGAAATAATATTTTCTTTATTTGTTGATAATAAATAATTCTTTAATAATTTAATTCATGTCACACTATACATTGTTATAATCGCAATATAAAACATTGTAGGATTCGCTGAGTGGCAGTTTCCAACAACAAACATACTCCGTCGAATCGACTTTTAAAATCAGAAAAATCGAAATTAACTAACCCTTCGTAATCTTGCTAATGTAATAACACAAACTTTATGTTATTACTTAATTGTTAATAAGGATTAAACATTCTACAATATAAACATATTTCTTTATATATAAAAAAATTGTAAATTAATTTTAAATTGAAATTGAAATTTCATTGAAATATTAAAATAATCAATCGAAAATTAATATGAAAAATATTTTTTTTATTTTAATTTTTTTTTTTTCAGAAATAATTTACGAAGGGTAGACATATCGACAGTTTAAAATGACATCTCTAATATAGAGACAATGAACAAAAACTCATATTAATTTATACCGGGCATCCCATCAAAAAATCAAAGCCAAATGCAGCGTTACGATTGTAGAAAATGTTTCAAATAACGCAATTTCTTCAAATGGATTTGTCTGAAGAGGCACAGTTTTGGGAACAACCCTGTATAATATTTTCTATTAGAAAAATTGCATTAACTTTGAAAAGATCGTCGATTCTTGCTTAGAAAAATATATCAATTATAGTTTTGCATAACAATCGACATTTAAATCGTATTCTCTATTATTCGTACATGTATAAAGATTCGTTACATGCCTACGTGCGCGCACGTATCAAATTACATTTAAAGAAACTCACTAATAAACAAAAATTAAATCAATTTAGCGTTTGATTTTTCTATAAAATTTAACTCTTCGCTTTAAATATTATTATTTTACAAATCAATATTTAGTAACGTTAAATTAAAATTTATATTACTTTTATTATTAATTATAAGTTTCTTTGAAATTTAAGAACATTAGAATTTAATTTATTTGATATTGAGAAAGATATTTTAAACGATTCAAATGTATTAAATATAAGATAATTACTTTGCAAATCAGTTACATAATATTTAAAGACTGATTTACAATTTTATTATCTTTTTATTTTTAAAAGACGAAGAGTCAAATTGACGCTTAAAAATCTAATACTGCCTTACAATTTCTTCATTGAAACCGATTTAATATCATTTTTAAATTTGAAACAATGATTCCTAGCTTTTCAAATTTAAATAATTTGTCAGTGTTGCAGGAGGCTGTCATTGTTTAACATATATTAAAACCGACCGAGTTCTTATCTAAAATTTAAATATAATTTTTAATTAATTCATTATGTATGAAAAATTTCTTCATATTATATTATATATGTATTTATATATATATATATATGTATGTATGTATGTATGTATATGTATCATATGCACATATCATATTACATACATAAAATTTACAAATATAACTTTGATATTATAATAATTCAATTCAATTTTGTAATGTCTTTCTCAATGCTAAAAAATCTACTTATCAAAACTTATAATCAAATGGAATTTCAGATCCAACAAGATCTTACAAACAAATAATTTTACGTTAATTACATATGAAGAAAAAATCCTTGAAGATTTTGATTGGTTCGAGCAGGATATGTAAATGGTATCCTGTCTTCCGAGAAAATTTTAAATGAAAAGAAACTCGGTCGAATAATCAATCTTACAATATTATGCTTTACTGACTACGAACAAAATTATAAAATTTTGCTTAACTTTCATTGTTTTAACATTATTTTTAACAATTTCACGTATTATTTTAATATCATAATCTACTTTTAATTTTTTAATTTACGAAAATGTAAGTTTTAGTATCTCACTAGTTTTTATATAATTTTAATTTTTATATATCATCTTTACCACAAATTCTGATTCACATTGTTTTAAAATGTATAAAAATAATTATATTTTCGAGTTTTTTCTGATATCTGGAATTAATTGAACAAAACTTTTAATAATTAATATTTATATAAAATTAAAGTAGATATTTAAATTAAACTATTTTATTAAATATTTTTATTATTATTAATAAATAAAATAGAAATTTTATTTGAATAAATTAATTCAAATTCATAAATTGATGAATATTATTTTAAATCATTAATTTTAAATTAATTTATTAATTTATTTAGTATGTAAAAATTTTTAAATTTTATAAATTATCAATCCAGAAATCAGAAAAATCTCATGCATTATTTTTCAAAGACTATATGGATATTCTGCTAAATAATTTCTAATTAATGGTGGCAAATGTTTTGTAGGTAATTTATTCCTATTAACAACTAACCTGGCCAAATGACTAAGAGACCTTACTTCTTTAACTAAAGGTTTTGTCAAATAAATTTCACTATAAAGTTGTCCACTATAATCTACCCAAACTTCTTTTCTTTGTTCATCAACACTTTTTGAATATTCCACATAATATTCTAGCATTTTAATTGGACAATCAAAAAGAGGAATTGCAAAAGCAAGTCTAGGTTCAGCATCTAATCGAAACTGTCCCACAAAATAATGAACTCTAACAGAAGTAGGTCCTCTAGCAGTTTGCACAGACACAGCAAACATATATCTACTATCTGAGCTATCTCTCATCAGCCATCTGCCAATCATAGCATTTTTTAACAAATTTTCACTCTGCTGCCAACTAAGACCTTCATGATACCAACCACAAGTTTGTAAGAGTCTTTTAACTTCACTTAATCTAGCTGCATTCCTATCCATCATATAGTCAAAACTCCAGGGACATGGCATCAACCAAGAGACTGGTGTGGTTGGAGTTCTATCTCTTCTTTCATCAAAATTTTCTTCATTATTTTGAGTTTCGTTTTTCTGTACTAAACCTCCACCATTAAAATTGTTTCTAGCTCTTGAAGTTATACCTGACAAAGAATCAAGAGAATTCGTAGTAGTTGCAGTTATATTTACTGTACATTGTCCTAAATTTGCTGGAAGTTGTACAGTCGCATTTACTTGAATCTGTACTCCTGAATTAGAATCTAAAACCATAGAATTACGATTTTCCGAAACTTGAAGATTATTTGATTTAACATGATAAAGCTTTTGAACATTATTACAACAACAGTTGAAATTTCGGCTCTGTTCTAATTCATGTTCATTTGTTTTAGAATTTTTAGCTTGTTGAAATTGCATTACTGGCACATTCATTTGAAAATCTGAGAAAATTGGCTTTTCCTCATAATTTTCTAGCGAAGTTGCTTCTTCAATTTTTTGCGATAATATATTTCTTCGAGTCCCTGGTAATTCTTGACAGCCACTTGGAGGTATTAAAAACATCCTTTTATCATGACTCACACTTTCTTGTTGAATTTTTTTTTCATGAGATATCATAGAAACTTCTTGATTTTCAGTTGATAATGTTTTTTGCACAAAACATCCTCCACCAGATAATTTTGGACGGATTTCCATATGTGGTGTATGCATAAGAGTTTCAGAATCCATACTTTGAATTAAACAGCCTCCAGATTGTATACTTGGTGTTGTTATTGTTACACTTCCTCCAGTTAAGTCACAACTTGTAGTAATTTGACACCCAGAACTTTGATTCTTTTGTAATTCTTCATTGATTAATGGAAATCCAAGAACTTGTGTATTTTTTTCATATCTTTGAAGGAAATCTTCTCTTTGCTTATCAGTTCTTGGTTTTTCTAAGTCAAGTGTCATCGATGGATAATTGAAAGAATTGATAACAGGTTGCGTATGAATTATAGTTGGTGCATTTATAAAACAGCCACCACCACTAGTATAGCCTTTAGGAACTAGTAGGCCACCATAATAACAGGTTGTTGGATGAATTAGAGCGTTATCTTCATTAATATTTTTAGGTTCACAACAACCTGGAGCTGGAAATCGGTGACGACAGCTCGGGCACATCACTGTCAACATTTTTTGAAGATAAATCTTACTTTCAGCATAACACAGTCTTGTATCTGTAAATAAAAAAAACAAAATTCTTTGTATAAAATCATGATAAAAATACTATAAAAATAATATAACAATATAATATAATTTATAATTCAATATATATATATATATATATATATATTGTATAATATATTTTTTTAAATTTATGATATAATTGCATTACAATTTTAAATTATTCGGAATTTTACGAAAAATTTACTTCGTATAATAATTGAACAAAAAATATTTAAAATAATTATTTAAATTAAATTCATAAAAATTTTAACATATAAATATGAAATATAAATAAAAAATATTAAGAAAGAATA